GTTCTCTCGTGAACACGGTTCTGGCAGGCCGTGGGCATTATGTGGTAACGGGTCGGAGGGTCCAAGTCGCGCCAAAGCAAGCAGAGGCAGGGACCAGTTCAGCCTCAGTCCCAAGTCAATATAAGGAATAAGGACTGGCCACCCACATTTTCAGGGAAGAATGCTCATTCGTGACAAGTGTGGGAGTGCTGCTGAAGCGCTTGTGCGATATCTGCGAGTAGCATGCACGCGAGAGCAGCCCTGCAAGGCAGCGCTGTCCTGAGAGGGAAGGCGGTAATAGCCGCATAGCTAGTAGTAGGTGATAGAGCTGAGTAGTAGCGGATGTATTCAGAGTCAAGATTCTCAAGTAGAGAGAGGGAGAGAGAGAGTGCATGCATGAAGAAGACCAGGAGGGACGCAGACAGACAGACACAGAGAGAGAGAGAGAGAGAGAGAGAGAGAGAGAGAGAGAACTCATGCTAATGGAATTCACAAGAAGTGGCGGCACATTTCTCCACTCAGGACCAGCTCATACTATGACTTTCCTAAATGTATCTGACTGCAATTACGGCTGAGTCTTGAAGCTGTCTCTTATACACATCTAGATGTGTATAAGAGACAGGAGAGAGAGAGAGAGAGAGAGAGAGAGAGAGAGAGAGAGAGAGAGAACTCATGCTAATGGAATTCACAAGAAGTGGCGGCACATTTCTCCACTCAGGACCAGCTCATACTATGACTTTCCTAAATGTATCTGACTGCAATTACGGCTGAGTCTTGATGTACCTGACAGCAATTGCGTCCACGGCTGAGTCGAAAAGTCCTACTGTGTCCTCAGAGCGAACCTCTCTCTCTCTCTCTCTCTCTCTCTCTCTCTCTCTCTCTCTCTCTCTCTCTCCCCCCCTCTCCCCCTCCCTCTCCCCCCCCCCCCCCCCCCCCCCCCAGCCCCGCCTTCTTGCAAGCTACTACCTTTGTCTATGAAAATGAAAAGTGGAAAGACCACCTGAGTGTGAACTCCTCCCTCTCTCTCTCCCTCTCTCTCCCAAAGAGGTGTTGACGGTTTCTCCTTTCTATTTTTTTGTCTTTTTTTTTTGGACCATTTCTTGCTTTATGCGTGTCATCCTTACTTGCGCAGGGGCCATGCTACTCTTCTCTCTGTGTATCATTCCCATTTTAACGGATGTTGTGAAGGACACGGTTTCTCCTTTCACGTCGATTTCACAGCTCATTTTTTTCTTCCATAATAAGTCCTTTTTTTTTTTCTCTCTTTTTGTTTTGCACATAACAAGTGTCTTGCATCCTCCAAGTTTTCGTACTTGAACTTTATTTTTTTACATGTTTATAATTTTTTTCTTCATTTCCAAAAGAATTCCCCCCAACCCCTATCAAAATATTGGGCTGGGGCCTGGACCCACTAGCGAAGTATTCTACGACGTGTGACACAGTTTTATGGTTTTTTCAACTTTTTTGGAAAATACAAAGTGATTTTTTATTTGCATGAATGGATCTTTTTCTGATTTAAAATGAATTGAAATAGCACATAAAACTATGAAGAACAGCTGTGCACCCGAATTCATGGGTTGGTACGATCTCCTTCACGTAAGTCTTCATAGTGATGTACCGTGGCAATAAAATGTGTCCACGAACACATTCACGCCACGAACACATTCACGAGGATGAACAAGTAATGGCTATAGGGATACATTCATCCCCATGTATCTCATGATGCCTTTAGCAGGCCGTCCGACAGACGCGGAAGCGTTCCTGTCAGATGCACCACAATATTCGAATTTCACATTTCAAGTTCTATTTCTCAGAGCCAAAAAAAATAAAAAACGAAGTCTGGAAATCAACCCCCCCCCCTAAAGCCCATAAAATCCTGACTTCCCGCCCACGCAAAGCCACGAGCTGTCATGTCCAAGTTAGTCCAACTTCGTTTTTTTTTTTTTATTCGACGCATCTCATTGGATGGGAGGTGAGCATCTTTACAGTCCCCGCTCGGAAACTACCAGGCCGTGGAGATCCGATCTCATCGACGGCCGTACTGAGTCACTCGATGCCACACGTGATCAAAATCCTGAACGGCGTGGTAGAATACCTTGCTAGTGGGTCCAGGCCCCCTGGGCCTGACCGAAAAATCCCCATTAAAAAATAATAAGAATAAAATAATATAAAAAAATCCCTTTTTTTCTTTTTTTCTTTTTTGGGAGACTCCCATTTCTTTGTTGCTTTGATCTATTGAACTCTTTTTTTTCCCGTCCCGCTTCTGTCTTCCTGCAAATGCAATGCATCCTCACCATAAATGTATAGAACCCATGTTCCCGGTCACATACATGCATGATGAGGTTGAGCTCTGTCTGGGGGAAGAAGATGGCACTCCTTCAACCATGCTCCTCTCGGCCCGTCGATGCAACCCCCCTTTGAAAGAGAGAGCCCCATCATGGCTGAATCTGCCCGGAAAGGTCGTTTCTATACATTCTCTCTTCCCTCAATCCGTCTGTTCCTGTTTACACAAGTTAAAAACGTTTCTTTACATTCTTTGATCCCTTTTTCTTTCTTTCTTTTTTTTTTTTTTTTTCTTTTTTTTTTTGGAAAGCACGATTTAAATTTTAAAGGGAGTAGCTCCTAATCTTATTGTCTACAGTCAACACTTGTATGTATGTGACCGGAAACATCGGTCACATACACAACATCGAACATCGGTCACATACACAACATCGGTCACATACAAGTCTTAACTGTAGACAATAAGATTAGGAGCTACTCCCTTTAAAATTTAATAAATTGAGTTCGAACGTCCAACCCTGATGAGATTTCATCAAGGTTCGAACTCATGATCTGTTCATTAACAGATTTTATTTATTCATTTTTTCATTAACAGATATTAACAGCTACACTTGTGTACCATTCAGCCTCATGGAGTGGAATATTTACTTCCTTCTAACACTTTCTTTTTCCCCCAAATTCTTTTTTTTTTTAAATATATATTTACTCCCTTCCCATTTGGACAACTTCGTCTTTTCTTTTTTTTCATCAAGTCTCTTGTTTTTATTTTTGTTTTTTTTGTTTTTTTTTTTCCGGCATCTCTTCCTTGTAATCCATGTCCCTTTTTTTCCGTTAGGCATCGCTTACTTTTTCTCTGTGCAAGCCTTGCTCTTGCACCACTGCTGTGGTTCCCACCTACCCCGTGGGCCCGTGGGCTGGGGACAGTTCCAGGTTTGGTTGGTGTGGTGGTCCCCCCCAGTACTATACATACATAGACTACAGTCTTCCCCCGAATACAACGTACGGTCATTATAGCTGAATTTGGTGTAACTTTCGGTCTAAATTCAGCTATAATGACCGTACGTTGTATTCGGGGGAAGACTGTAGCTAGAGGATGAGATAGATGAGGAAAATATATATACAAAAATTAGATTGAGAGAAGAATATAGATTAGTTTTCTATTAAAAAAAGGAAAAAATAATTATTTCCATATTCGCTCGCATGCTTGGATCAGGGCATACTCGCCACCATAATTTTTTGGACTGGATTTGGTCGTAATTAACTGCTCAGATGCATCCAGACAAGATTATCCGCATCCCACTGTGCTACTCTACACAAATATTACACTCTCCCCTTGCTCCCATGCTCATACACGCTGGCAACACAACTCTTTCCAGTTAACGTGGCTGTAATTACGTCCAGATACGTCGAGGCGAGTCCTACTGTACCCATCTGTAATTGAACCCTTCCCTCTCCACCTCTGCCCCCCCCCCCCCNACACCCTCACTCTCTTGGGGTTCTTCCAACCCGTGTTCACTTCCTACCGCCTCCCCCGGAACTTAACACACAAGAGTTGATTATTACGAAATTATGAATGTATTTAGAGCAACTTTCGGCCCGGATTCAACTATTCTTCTGCACTTCACTCTCTAACTCGGTTTCTTTTCGATAACCGGTCGTGAAAGAGTTATGACGCGCTTACGAAATCCTTCTTGTGCTTTTTTTCTTTTTTGTTCGAGAGACTATAACGTGTACCTGGCTCCAATTCCTAGATCAGTTCAGAATAGGGAGGGACTCTCTACGTGGTTCTCATTATCCGCCTCATCGTCATCAGCAAACGAGAGGGGCGGGGTAGAAGAGAGAGGGAGGGGGGTATAGGTGAGAGAGAGACTGCCCAAGGCGCAAATCAGTCGTAGAAGATGGGCTGATTGATTGGGTGCTTGATTGCCACGTGTCCAATTAACGCCATCTCACAAACTGATGCTGATAAGGATGCAAATGCGCGGAAAGACGGATCCGAACATACAGACAGGAACAAGTGGAACGAACAAACAGCAATAGCAGAGAGGAGAGAGAGAGAGAGAGAGAGAGAGAGAGAGAGAGAGAGAGAGAGAGAGAGAGAGAGAGAGAGAGTTATTCAACATTTTGAAGAGAGAGCTCTTCACATGCAAAAAGAGGAGTGGCCGTTCACAAGGAAACAAGACAAAGGACAGAAAGAGAGAGAGAAGGAGAGAGAGAAGGAGAGAGAGACGGAGAGAGAGAAGGAGAGAGAGAAGGAGAGAGAGGAGAGAGAAGGAGAGAAAGGAAAGAGAGAAGGGGAGAGAGAGAGAGAGTGAGAGTTATTCAACATTTTGCACAGACAGTTGTTCACATGCAACAAGAGGAGTGGCCGTTCATAAGGAAACAAGACAAAGGACAGAAAGAGAGATAAGGAGAGAGAGAAGGAGAGAGAGAAGGAGAGAGAGAAGGAGAGAGAGAAGGAGAGAGAGAAGGAGAGAGAGAAAGAGAGAGAAAGAGAGAGAAAGAGAGAGAAAGAAGAGAGATAAGGAGAGAGAGAGAGAGAGAATGAGGGATAGGAGACAGAGAGACAGAAAGAGGGAGAGAATTATTCGCAAAAAAAACAGAAGTCATAGTATTCCTGATTTTCTACTAAGTAATTTTTCACATTCTTCCAAACTGATCACCTATGGCCGAGCCAAAATTGGAGAATTGAAAAGAAAAAAAAAAGAGCCAAAATTGAAGAATTGAAAGAAAAAAAAGAGCCAAAATTGGAGAATTGAAAAAAAAAGAGCCAAAATTGGAGAATTGAAAAAAAAAAAAGAAAAAAGAATAGGGCTCCCAAGTTTTTCTTACTTCCTTTTTCCGTAAACACTAGAATACAAGCCGAGTCAAACAATGAAGAGAAGGATCGTAAGCGAAGTAAGAAAAGGAAGGCAAGGGCGAAGGGGAGGGAGGTAAAAATCTCTCGTTGATCTCGTTTGTGCTGGACTTCTTCATTAATTCATTTTTTGTTAATATCATCACGCTCTCTTCGTTTTCTTAGGTGCTGGCTCCTTCTCTTCGTCTTCGTCTTCATCGTCGTCATCTTCCTCTTCCTCTTCATCATTGCCCCCATCTTCTTCTTCTTCTTCTTCTTCTTCTTCTTCTTCTTCTTCTTCTTCTTCTTCATCCTCTTCTTCCTCCTCTTCACCCTCCTCCTCCTCCTCCTCCTCCTCTTCTATTCCTTCCCCCTCTTCATCTTCTTCCTCTTCCCCATCGCCCTGGTCATCGTCCGCACCATCCTCCTCCTCCTCCTCATTTCCATCACCATCGTCATCCTCCTCCTCACCATTACCCTTCTCTCCTTCATCGCCATCGCCATCTTCTTCACCAAGCTCATCATCATCGTCACCCTCATCTTCTTCACCATCATCGCCATCGCCGTCATCCTCACTATCAGCGTATTCTCCCTCCATCTCCTCCACAGAACGTTGGGATCTCCTCTTCCTCTCCTTCTTCTCCCTCTCCATAGCCATTTTCTCCTCATCACCACCCTCCACGTCCACGCCATCACCGCCCGTACCCGTCTTAAACACCCACCCATCGAAATCGACTAAGTCCTTGCCAACCCCAATTCCACGTTGTCTTTCTCCTCCTCCTCCTCCTCCTCCTCCTCCTCCTTCTACTTCTCCTTCTCCTTTTCCTCCGCCGGCGCCGCCTGCTGCCGCTGACGGAAGACCCAAGCTTTGGCGATGGCCGCCGAAGAGAGAGGAAGGGCAGGTGGACGACGAATAGAAAGCGAGAGGAACCTTCCTCAGCTTCTTGCCTAATTGGTCCACCATGACCGATGCATAAGAGCCGCGGCTAAACTCCATAACGGAGACTTCCGTCGTCTTTCTCCTCACCGTCAGATCGACATCCAACGACTTGATGAACTTCGACACAGTGGGACAGTAATGCCTGCGCAGCGCATCAATCTCCCAAAGAGAGCTATGCAGCGCGCGACACGTGGCAGTATTTCGTTCATCGGGCAAGAAAGGATCCACACCAGGACCACCACCTCCATCCCTAATCTGCTTCCCAGCCGACATAGCCAATTGCCCCCCCTCTTCTCCCTCCTTCTTCCTTACCTGCTGCATCTGGCCATCGCCGCCTTCTCTCTCGCTTCCATTCGTCTGCTCAACACCAAGTGATGTCTGACCAGCACACGCAGCAGAGTCCAACTGAGAGGAAGATGACAGCGTCGCTCTATCAGCAGCAGCAGGAGGAGGAGGAGGAGGAGGAGGAAGAGGAAAAGTGTTCTTCCCACCATCTCCTCCTCCTCCTACTCCCTCAACAGTTACTACTTTTCCTCCTTCTCTGTGTACAAGGCTGTTGATGGAAGGATGTCTGCGAAGCAGATTCCGTACCATGGCGATGGATACGATGACCCCTGCAGGGGGAGCAATCAGGGCTAAGCGCGCCAATTTCTTCGCGAACGCCGCCGCCAGATAGGCAGGCAAATGAGACGATTTCAGACATACATCCAGCAGTTCGAAGAACCTGGACCGATGCTTGGCCTCGAAGATCGACGGCTCCAGGATCGCGTACAGCTTGTTGTAGAAGTCGGGATACTCTAGCCCGTGCTTGGTGATCAGACAAAAGAGGCCACTCAGGGCCATGACACTCACCACCCCCCCCCTTGCGTACGAATAGGTCAGGAAGTCGCTCAGATGCAATGGATTTGTCAGATTCGGTATGACCAACGACTCCATGGCCGCGAGCACTTTCTTGTAGACGTCAACAGGAAGAGGAGCCCGAAGAAACGAGAGCCAGCATTCGCTGGCCATCTTCTTCTGCATCTTCTCCATCCGCCATAGCCGGTTCTTCGGCAGATGCGCTTTGTTTCGTTTGCTGCCACTGCCACTGCTGCTGCTGCTGCTCATGATGATGATGCTCGCGCTCTTACTCTTGTCATCCCCTCTCCCCCCGCCCTTCTTCTTCTCTCTTGCGTCCTGGTCGACCAGGGGGTCCGCATCTGACCACCCCCGGAGACGGAGTTCTCCATCCCCCCCCCCATCGTCGTCACAACCCCCTCCCCCTCCCCCTCCCTTCTTCTTCGTCAGCAACAACTTAGCCGCTACAGATAACGACGAGGAGGAGGAGGGGGAGGGGGAGGAGGAGGAGGAGGGGGAGTAAGTGGAGAGTGGAGGAACCCGGACCAGAATCTCGTACACATTCCGTAAGAACGTGTCTATACTTACCGAAGGTCTTTTGTTCGAGTCTTGAGAGTTGTCTTCCTCACCCTTCCCTTCTCCTTCTCTTACCCCCTCCTCCGCCGCCTTTTCCTCCCCCCTGCTCTCTTCCGCCATCGCCATCTCTTTCTCCTCCTCCTCCTCCTCCTCTTCCTGTCCCTCCTCCTTTTCCTCGCCGCTCCTCCTCCTCCTCCTTGCCCCCCTCACTTCAGACCCTCCTCCAGACTTGCTAACCCCCCTCCCCTCTTCCTCCCCTCCTCCCTCCCCGCCCCCTCCGCAGCTGCCGCCGCTCTTGCCCTTACCTTCCCCCGACATGCCAGACATAGCTTGCTTCCTCTTCGATCGACCACTCGGCGCCGCCGCCATCGCCGCCGTCCTTCTGGTTATCAACCGATTCAAAGACTTCAGAGTAAAATACCTCACATCTGCATACTTTTTCAAGTAACTCTCCACGAACAGCTTGGCTACCACCTCCCCTGATGTGAAGTTGCCCCACTCGATCATCGCCTCCACAATCCGTGCGTGCAACTCGCTGTCGAAGAAGGAGCCATTGCGCTGAGCGCGCACGAAAGCCATCAGCGCATGCAGCGCCGCCGCTTGCGCTTTGGCCGGCGCGTCGTCGCTTTCCACCATAGCCAGCATTGCCTCCACGCAGTCCTTGTATCGTTCTCTCACCCAATTACGGTAGACGTCATCAACATCCATGGGCAGACATGCCGCAGGCGAAGACGAAGCCTCGCAAGCGACTGCGCGTTGGACCCGGGGCAGCAACTGCGACGAGGGAGGAGGAGGTGGAGGAAGAAGAGGAGGAGACTGAGGAGGAGGAGAAGGAGGAGGAAGAAGATCATCACCTTCGGCCATATCTTGATGCTTTTTCGGCAGCAGTTGCTCTTGCTGCTGCTGCTGTTTTTGGTTGTTGTCAACTGCCGCCGCCGCTGCCACCATATCCATCGCTTGGACGTCGTCAGCGCCGCCGCCATCGCCGTCGACATCACCATCGACAGAGTTGCTGGCTACTTCTTGGCGTGCTTTCCTCTTTTTGTTAAGTAATAAAAATAGGGAGGCATCAGCTCTCTCCTTCTCCTTCTCCTTCTCTCTCTCCTCATTAAGCACTCCATCGCGATAGAGAGAGAGGAAGAACAGCTGGAGGGACCACGTGGTTTCGGTCAACACTCGCTCATCTTTTCGCCGCCGGGAAATGGCGCGAATCAGCCGCACCACGTTGTTCACATTGGCGCGAGATTGAAGCAGCTCCGCGCCAAGCCGCACCTCCTCCTGCCCAGATATGGCGGGAACTACCATTCCCGGCATGATCAGCTTGATGGCTTGATTGATTGATTGATTGATCGACTAATTAACAGCCTCTTTACTCGTCCTCCGCCCGCTAGTTACAACCACGGCCTCAACTCACTCGCAAGCGCAATAGTCACACAGAAGATGGGCCACGTGGGACACACAACAGCCCCGGCAATCCGTACACTAATTAGCTAATCAAATCACAGACCACAGCAGCAGCAACAGCCATGACAAACAAAGGGGAGAGAGAGAGAGAGAAGTCGGAGGCAAGAGGGCAAAGACTAATAACAGATCTGTCTTCCCGCGCGGCCGACAGCTGCCTCCCGCCCCGGCCCTCCACGTCCGACCTGTGTATACCGATCGCGACCGACGGATTAGGTCAAGGAGACGGCTGTGATTCCACAAGGAGGATGCATCATCTCCCGCCAGTATGTAATCACCTAGGCCCTCGCCGATCTCCTCGTAAATGTGCAATATGGAGGATGAATCTACCGCCAAAACGTGGACAGATTACCCGCCATAGTATTTTCCGGGATTGGCAAGTGGTGGAGCAAGGGGCCCAGCCTATGCGGATAGGAGGTAGGAGAGGAGAGAGGAGAGAGAAGAGAGGAGAGGGCGGCAACCCGGAGAGGGAAGAAAGGCAGGAGAGGCGAGCGAGGAGAGGGATGGGAGAGGGATGGGAGAGGGATGGGAGAGGGATGGGAGAGTGGGGAGAGAGGGGAGAGAGAGGAGAGACCAGAGAGAGGCGAGAGGCGGGATGGAAACACCACAGAGGAGGAAGGGAGGGAGAAAGTGGGAAAGTGGGTCAAAACAGACACCAAGAAAAAGAAGGGGACCCAAAATTGTGACTGTACCCAAGACGAACACGGGAATTGCGGCTGTGTCCAGGCGCCACAGCCCAAATCCCCCCTGATACGGCCCAATTACCTTCTTGCCCTTCTTGCCCGATTACTCCTATCACCACATTACCGATATGTCCAAAGCCCGGTAGGAACCGACAATTTCTTGTTGCTATACCCGAATACATGTATGAGGAAACTACCCATATGTCCAACGGGCTTATTAGCTCAGTCGGTACACTAATGACCTATTGAAATATAGACGGGAGTTCGAATCCAAGTGCGATGAAACTGACCAGTTCAGGGGCAAGGTCCCACTTGCGCAAATTAGGAGATCTCGTCCGTTGATCTTTGCTATCTACGGTCAGTATCCCATAATTCGTGAAAGTGGGACCTAGCCCCAGAACTGAATTTACCTGGGACTGATCAGTTCAATGATGATATCCACAGGCCGTCGCCCTTCCAGAAAAAAAAAAGAAAAGGAAGAAGAAGAAGAAGAAGAAGAGGAAGAAGAAATGACCCATATGTCCGTCCGAAAATTGCTGTTGTGCCCTCACAGGGGTATACCCTTTACCCGTCAGTTTGGATTGTTTTGTTTTGTTTTTTTTGTTTTGTTTTTTTTTCGGAGTGTATTTCACCGATCGACCATTCGTAAACCATCCACCCACAGCTAGTCTCGGGTTCGACACTCCGGTCATCAGGCGAGGTTTTTTTTTTTTTTTTTTTTTTTTTTTTTTTTTTT